ATGGTTTATTGCTGCATATTAATGGAATTACTTATCAAATTCCACCAATAAATTGTAAGAAAATAATCATACATTTAATTGGATTGTAATTGAAATGTATAAGATATAGATCAATACCTTTCAACCTAATACCTTTCAACCTGTTTAATTGGATTGTAATTGAAATGTATAAGATATAGATCAATACCTTTCAACCTAATACCTTTCAACCTGAACTATGGTGAGTCCAACAACATGTATAAGATATAGATCAATACCTTTCAACCTAATACCTTTCAACCTGAACTATGGTGAGTCCAACAACCTCTGCAGCCTTCCTTGAAAATCTTCAATGTAGATGGTGGAGGTGAGGATGAATAAGATGAAGCATTGAGGGCTTACCATATATAAACATCTTCATGTCAACACTTGGGATCTTAAGGCGGAGCACGAATTCTGAGCACAATCAAAACTTAAGACGACTGGGTTCTCAAGGAGGAGCACGAATTCTGTGGTCGACGGAGACGAAGAGGCGGAGCACGATTTCTCTAGGAGACGAACACGAAGAGGCGTTCTTGAGAATTGAAGAAAGGGGGGAAAATCTGCGGTCGAATTTGGGGTGAATTATGGGGCTTGTTAAGGTTTATTTTTGGGAAAAAGGGTTTTTTTGATATGAAGCATATGATGATGTACTGCGTTGGGGGGTTGGATCGGGTAGCGGGTGTGCTTAGAGTGGATCGGGTTGTGGGGAGGTGTCATCAGGCTGGATCTGGCAGCTTGCTGACATGGCAGGCTTTCTTGAGGATGAGGGACTTGTATTTTGTGAAGGATGGTGAGATGAAGCACGCTGGTGTGCTCTTTGGGCTTGAGTGTTTCTGATAAATAAATAATAATAATATTCATTTGTTAATATTTATAAGTTGTTATTTATAAGGTGGGTGAAAATAGATGTGGGTGAAAGAGCTTTGCTACAGAGACCCAAAATATGGGACCAATAAGGGGGACAATTAAGGTGTCCACCTCCTATTGGATAATGAGTTGGTCATCATTAATGACGGCCAACTCATTATCCAATAGGAAAGGGGACACCTCACTTGTCCCCTCTATTGGTCCCATATTTTGGGTCTAGGACCAATAGGAGAGACAAATAAAGTGTCCACCTCCTATTGGATAATGAGTTGGCTATCACCCATATTGGTCTCATATTTTGGGTCCTTGAGGAATTTTTCGTGGGTGAAAGGCTAATATTGGGAATTGAAGAGAGGGGTAATAAATGTTTAGGAGGTGGTTAAATTGCCAAGTGGCATGTGCAAGGGTAAATTGCCAAGTGGCATGTGCAAGGGTAATAATTTTTTTTAAGAAATTTAAAAAAAAGGTTAAATTGCCAAGTGGCATGTACAAGGGTAACCGTTTTAATAGAAGATATAGATTTTAGCGTTGGTACCCTATCTCCAATAACTCCAAATTAGTGCCTCAATTGTTGAAAATTGCTTATAAGTCCTTCAAACCCATACGGATCTTGTTATTAGTTGATAAGCAGTAAATATTGTTTTGAATACAAAGAGCTTTTATTTCCGTCGTAGCCCGTAGATACTTGTGAGAAATTAGCTGTAGAATTCTAGCCGTTCTCAAAGATAAATTTTTATTTTTTAACTATATTTCAGTATGAAAATGTCCTTATTGCGTTCTAGACGTTTAACTTGTTCAAAGCACTCATACCTTGAAAAAAAATCCTACAATTTGGATTCTATTAGTTTTAAAGCTTTTCTAAATGAGAAACAACAATGTGATATATACTTCGTAGCTATAAATTGACATGTTGTCGTGTACCACAAACAAATACATTATCGCAATTATGTCTCATCCTGATAATTTCAATGTTCCTCAAGAATCTAAATTAAATACATCTCAAAAGCTTTTCCTGGATATATGATTACAATCAGGGGTGCATTCGGTCCAGGTACGGCTCAGATATAATGTTTATCGTATTCATATCCGCTTACCCATCTTAGATACGGATACGAATACGGATAACCTCAGTAAGAAAAATTCATATCCTTATTCGCTAAAATCGGATACGGTTATGGGTATAGATGTAGATATATAAGCGGATGTGCATCTAGATACAAAACAGATATGAGAAAACTAGATAGTATTGAGAAAACCATATTTAATGTGATACAAAAGAGTTCGTTGATATGTTCATTATAACTGAAAAGCTAAAATTAAACATCTTGATCATCAAAATTAACCACAAATCCATAATCTAAGAATAGAAACGATCGTAAGAGTATGACTAATATGTATCCAAATATTTCGGATACGGATACTGATATTTCGCTACAAAACCATATCTGTAACCATATCCTATCGGTTAAAGATTTGAGTAGCTATATCCGTATCCTAACCGATACGGTTACAGATATTTTCTCGGATACGGATAAGGATTAGCACCCTTAATTACAATACACGGTTTGCGTTCTAAAAAAATCATGATACCACTTAGGCCCTAACGATAGCCCAAAAGCAGGCCCTGCTCCGTTGCCGCCTTGTATCCGATATTTGCTGCTCGAGGCCCAACAGCAAATCCCCAACCTATTATGACAGCTACGTTATCGGTGGCGCGGTCTGCTTGACTCTGACGCGACCGTGGGCCCACGGTATCGGTTCCCCATGTGATTTACAAAAGCGTACTGCGGTTCAAAGGACCACGGCGTGGCTCATCTCCTCAAGAGTCCCAAAAGCGATGGATCGACCACAACCGTTGATTTCTCTATCACGTGACCCACCGGATCCCAACTAACCGACAGCAACTTAAAGAGCGTTCCAGAACAGGAACAAGCGGGTGCAGAGATGCGATCAGGTAGCCCGATAGCCTGACCCGAATCATGACGGGCCAGATGCAAACTTATAGCCCATGTATGCTTTGGTCGTGTTTAATTAGTTTTTTAAGCTTTATTAGTTAAAAATCTCGTAACTAGTAGTAGAAGGATTAAAT